TGTTTATGATAAAGATACTTCAAGATAAGGGTTCTTTTTTTCAATGTAAATTTCACAGGAAGAGACAAGAAAACCAGAAAACAAAATTCAAAGTAGTTTCTGAAGCTAGAAGGCAGGACCAAAAAAAAAAAAAAGTCCATAAACACATTTTGACCTTTCCATATGCTACACCTATGGGTACAGGATACCTTGTTTTGTCAAAAAAAATCCATTAGGTCCTTAGACCACTATTTTCTTTCCTCCCTGGCAGGGTAAAAACCACATCCTCTCTATATGTCAATAAAGAAGCGCTCACAGACTTGCATTGTGCCTGTGCCTAAATAGAAGAGAATGCCACTGGGGTAATTTTTTTTTTTTTGAGAGAGAGAGAGAGAGAGAGAGAGAGAGAGAGAGAGTGCAAGTGGGGGGAGGGGCAGAGGGAGAGGAAGAGAGAGAGAATCTGAAGCAGGCTCCACACCCAGCACAAGGCCCGTGGTTAGGTTTGATCTCACAACTCTGAGATCATGACCTGAGCCAAAATCAAGAGTCAGATGCTTAATCGACTGCAGCACCCAGGTGCCCTGCTCCTGGGGTAATTTTTAAATGTAATTATTTATTATTTCGAGAAACACAGATGGAGTATGCACTAGGGAGACACTGCTCTATGTGCCCAAGACAGAGCACTGAAGAACGTGAGGAACAGCAGTTAGACCTATAGGCTGGAAAGGAACAAATGATCTAAAGACTCCTGGAAATGAGGTCAGAGAAAGATCGTGGGTGTTACAGTTCATGTGGGCCATGTTTTTTACCTGCAATGATGAGAAGGCAGTGGAGGATGGATTGATACAGTCTGACTAAAGTTTGAACAGCATCCCCTTTGGCTGCACATTAAGAAATGACTCGAGAAGAATAAAGAGGAGAAAGGAAGTTTAGGAGGCTTCTCAGCCAGTCCAGAAGAAAGATGAAAATGGGTGAGTGGGGTGGTAAAAAGTGGACCAGTTCTGGATCTATCTGAAAGTAAAAGCAACAAGACTGATTTTGATAGAAAGAGATAAGGGTTGTAGAAACAGAGGGGAATCAGAGGAGAGCGGCAAGGATTTATCTGAAAAGATTACAACCCAGAAACTACTAGGACAACATTTCAGCTAAGCAGAGTCGAACAAATTTTCCCTCCTGAAATCCCCAAAAATGAAAGAAAAGAAAAGAAAGAAGAGGAGATGAAGGTCAATGGCAGATGTCCACAAGTAAAAGCTAAGCACTTGCCGTGGAGCGGCCAACAGTAAGGTGATTGATTCAGGTGGTATAAGTCTAGAAAGAAAGGTCTGGAATTGAAGATTCCAGAGGTTTCTGAAGTCAGGTGTGAGGAATAGTTAATTCCCTCTGCAACCAGAAGATTTTCCTTCTTGCATTTTGAGAGAAGGCGAGTTTTGTCTTTAGAAGTTAAACCAGAGAGTGCATGGGTTCAGCATATGCAGGGACAAAGTGCTGCAGTGAATTCAGGGATTATATATAAGGTGCCTGTAATGGGTGATTTCATGTGTCAACTTGTGTAGTTCTGGTGTCAGTTGTTTGGTCAAACACTAGCCTAGATATTGTTGTAGAGGTGTTTTATAGGTTTTCCCAGAATACAAGAATCTACAGACAAAAGGGCCCACTGAGTGCACAGAAAAATTATTTAACAAAAGCACATCATCATGAAATTGTCAGAAATGAGGGATATAGAAATAGTAGAAGCTTCTAGAATGTAAGAAAGAAGAGAAGAGAAAAGAAAAGCAAGAAAGAAGAAAGAAAAAGAAAGAAAGAAAGAAAGAAAGAAAGAAAGAAAGAAAGAAAGAAAGAAAGAAAGAAAGAAAGAAAGAAAGAAAGGGAGGAAGGGAGGGAAGAAGGAAAGAAAGAAAGGGGTAAAAGAATCTAATTGGCTCTGCAAGAAGATAATGGTGAAATAATTTTTTTGAGTGAAAATGATTCTATATAATGGTAAAATTTCAAATAGTTGTGAGTGTGGAATAAAGTTATTTGCAAACATTCAAAATTCTAAAAAAAAATAACTTTCTTCCCTGTACTCTTTCTCACAAACTCCTAGAGTGTACTACCAAATACATATATAAAATAAGGAAAAAGAACACACAGATTCAGGAAATGGGATCCAACAAGGGAGATATGTGAAGGAAATTCTCAGTATAGCTGATGTATAGACACACCTCCTATTGGTTCTGTTTCTCTGGAGAACCCTAACACAGATACTCTTCTTAAAACTCCTGATTATTTCTCAGTGTGTTCAATTAAACCACTTACTGAGTGCATGCAATGTACAAGGAATTACAGTAGTATTGTGGCTACACAAGTTGAATAAGATAATCCTTGCTCTCCAGATACTGAAACTCTAACAAGGGAAATGAGCAACTGCATAAATAAGTAAAATACGAGAATATCTTAAATGTTATAATTATTTTCATTAATAGGGATGATCCCCATTCTATATTTTCCTTAAAAGGCAGGACAACTTGTCATTAACCTTTGGAGAGGAGTTTCGTGACAGTAGACACTTAGACAAATAGCCACTAAGATATTACTCTCCTAGAAAACCAATGTTATCTGAGATAAACCCCAAAAAGAAAGGGGCCAGAGGGAGACAGAGGAGACCATCGGGGGAAGAAAAAGATGGAGTATGACTTTCCAATATTTTAATTTTTAAATTGAATTGGTATTTTTATCAAAATTTACATGCAGATAATTTTAAAAATCAAATAGAATTTAAAGGCTCACAGCACATAACAGCAGCCCACTGCTCTGTCCTTCTCCCAGGAACCTCCCTGTCCACAGCAACCACCTTCATCTGGCTTTTCTTTCTGTGTATCTCTATAACATCCATATATTGTTCCCTCTCAACCTTGGAAATTTAAATTACAGCCTTTCTACAACAGAGGATGAGTATTCAACTTTTTATATGCTTCCTCAATAATCCCTTTATTTGGTTAAATCAATATTCAGAGATTGACTATTTGATTATATAAATCTATTTTACAGCTATGCCATGTAATATGCTTTGATTATATTTCCTTCCTTGAAAAAAAATTGCCTTTAATTAGTTTTGTAGGAATCTCTTAGATATTTCTAGGAATCAAAGCCCTCCAATAGAAATATACTCAGGAAAAAAAAAAAGAAATATACTCAAGAAATCTGTTTCTTTTTTCTTCTGCGGAATATATCAACTCACAGGAGGACCCAAACCCCTGATCCTCCCATTCTGATCTGAGCCAGTTGATCTCCAGTTCTGTTGCATAGCTACATCCTAGCTCAGAACAAAACACTCAATAAGCTTCACAATAGATAATCACTCAAAAGGATATAACATTTGATCTATTAGCTTTGGCTGGTTTATTTAGAAAGAAGGATATATAAATCATGGTTATTTGTGCAGGAGACTGAGTGCCTTATTTCCAAAATTAGAGATATTAATAAATAGTAAAAGAGAAAAAGTATCATCTTGGGATATAAAAAAAAAAGGGATTGAAAATTTGGGAAGATGATTCTGAAGCCCAAAGAGTGCAGTATATTATAGCAGTCACGGAGGCCATCTGCATAGCCCTTAGTAATTATCCTGTTTTCTGGGATACTTACCACCTTGCTCCTACCTTAAGCAGTGGTTCCTAGAAGTCATGATTTATATGATCCTGATACTCCTGGCCATAGTGAATTGGCTCAGACATAGCCACCCTAACAAAACTGAGTCAATTAGAATTTCCTTCTTGGAATTGTAACCACAAAGTAGCTAATAAGTCTCTGTATTGCTAGAACAGTAATGGGATAGACATTTAACCATGCAGAGAGGGAGACAGAAGCAGAGTGTGTCCTTCTAGAGAAAGAGGGAGAGAGGGAGAAAGAGGGAGAAAAAGAGAGGGGGGGATATGGAAATGATTGAATAGTTGAATTAATGGCTATGTATCAATGGGAGATTTCTAATTCCTGAATTCTGACTGCATTGCTCCATATCACGTTTTGTGGGACAGCCAGTGATAATATAGCCCCCATTTATGTTGAAGCCAGTTCAAATTATTTTCTGATACATATATCTCAAAAAGAATTAACTATTCTTCAGCTTCATCCCATCCATCCCTTTGGATTTACTTGTCCCACTGACCAATGTGAAAGGAAAGGTATGGCTCAATCCTAAACTGAATTCCTTGTCATGGCAAACAGGACTTCCATCTTACCCATTTCTGACAAGCAAATCTCCTTTTTGCTTGGCACCATGCTCCTTTACACAGGCTCAGATAACTCAGAGCTGGTTGCATAGACAGAACAACCACACAGCTGTTAAATAACTAATAAACATGTATATTCATCATGACATTATGATGGTTTTATTATAAAGAAAATACATTGTTTTACTTAGGTCATATAAAGGCAAGGAGGAAGCCATGGATAGGGTCCATCTTTCTTCTGGTTGGCAAACACATAAAAAGATGGGTACAGTGAGACTAAACAGTAGTCTATTTTGTTAATTTTATGGCATTTAAAAATAATTCTAGATGCCCCTATATGATGCCAGAATATATATCCCATTTAGTAAAAACATCTGGTTAGCTTTATTCAGAAAATCATTTCATCATCTGAGTATTCGGCATGGGTATAAATAATTAACCCAAGTTTTCCCTTCTCTGGGAAGCAAAATTTATTCTTGTTTTGATTAGACTTTGTTTAGACTTTGTTCAGTTATTAGAAGGGGATTTACTTCAAGTTGAGAAATTAAATATAAGTTAGTCTCAATTATAAAATGTCTGATTGGCTGGGATTCCTCTAAAGGGTCATCCCAAATATAGCAACACAGACAGATACACCAAATAATCTTGAACATATTAAATAGTTTTATCTGTATTTGTTGATAATATAAATACAACAGTGTTGTTGGAAGTAAATGTTTTAGAAGTCCCAACCCCAAAACAAAGAGGAATCATCCAATATGGGACAATGAAAGGAAAGTCATTGTGCACTAAACACATAACACATTTCTCTCTTACCTGATTGACACTGATTACACCTTCTTCCTTGCCGATTAGGCAAACACAAGCACTGGCCACTGATTGGGTCACAAGTGATCCCAGGTAATGTCCCCAAGGAGTCACACTCACACATCTGGCAGCCTTGAGAATTGCCACTGGTCAGATTGTACCTGTGAGGCGCACACTGATTACAGTGAAGACCTGTTACTCCTAATTTGCAAGGACATTGTCCTGTTGATTTGTCACACAGCAGAGAGCCATTTACTGTCCCAGCCTTATCACAGTTACAAGGCAGACAGAGGAAAGAATTATTTTGCTGGAGGTAGAAGTATCCCTCCAAACATTCATTGCACCGTCTCCCTCCAACTCTGGGCTTGCAGATGCACTGCCCTGTCTTAGCGTCACAGATGGTCCCAGAGAGGGATCCAGCCATGTCACAGTCACAGGCCTTACAACTGGTGATGTCCAACCCGTAAAAGTGTTCTCTGCAGGTGTCACACTGAAGTCCTTTGGCTTCTTTCTTGCACTCACACTGCCCAGAAAGAGGATTGCAGAGTTTGTTCACTGAGCCGTGGAGGTTGCACCGGCAGGGCTCACATCCATCATCATTAAAACTTCGGAGGAATTTAAATCCAAAATTGCAATGATCACATCGAAGCCCTGAAGATAAAATTTGTTTTAAAAAAGTGAAAATGTGAACATGACTCTACTTCGCACTTTCAAGACAAACAACGCTGCTGCCAACATTTAATGCGGACACAAGGGGCACCTGGGGGACTCAGTAGGTTGGGTGGCTGCCTTCGGCTTGGGTCACGATCCCAGCGTCCTAGGATTGAGCCCCAATCCTAGGCTCCCGGCTTGGCCTGGAGTCTGCTTGTCTCTCTCCCTCTGCCCTGCTCATGCTCTCTCTCAGTCTCTCTCTCTCAAATAAATAAATAAAATCTTTTAAAAAAATAAAGCAGACACAAAATGCTAAGTGTTTTCTCCCAGCTGATGCTGTAGAGTCCTGGTCATATACTCCAAATACAATAACAACACTTACTTTGGCAATCATATATAACTTTATTTCTGTAATGTGCTTTACGAAATTTTATTACTTAACATACAGAGAAATGCTCACTAGAAATTTTGCTTCTGTTATACATAGTGGAGCTCTTTTCCTCTTTAACAAATATTAAAACTATTATTTTTAATCATTTTATGTTAACAAAATGTTCATGTAAGAGAATAGACAGTGAAATAAATTTTCAAAGCTACACAGAAGAATTACATATTACCATATTACTTATTATCCTAGAAATCAGATGACATGTACTATAATGTTTAACAAAATATTAAGCTGGTAGCTATCTTTGTGTAACAGTATATATGCTTTTGAATATCACACCTTTAAATAATTAATATAAATAAAACTTATCCAGAGCAATTTTTGTTTCAATGCCTTTATATGCCCCTATATTTTATTATTCTCAATTAATATAAATTATGCTCTCTTTGGCTCATAAAGCAATCACATCGCCTGTCATATTGTGTGATTCAGGATATTCCTCTTTAAACACTAAGTAAATTCTGCTGTAACATTACTTCTATTTAAAGGAGTACATATATACATTTCACAGAGAAAAATATGTTATCATCTAAACTTAAATCTCTGACAACTCAGATTAGTTTCAGAGAGAGTGTTAAAAGGAAAGAGAATAAAACACAAATTTTTGAATAATAAAGGTTGGGATGCAAAATACTCCCCTTAGATAGTTTCCACATACCCGTGAGTTTAAATAACTGACTACATGGGGCTGAATCAATGGAAACATTTATTTCAAGCTATAATCGCATTAAAAAAATTAGTCCTAAAATAACAGTCAAAAACACACACAGGAACTCATATGTAGAAAAGTATTTCTTTAAACTGGAAGGAAATGCACAATATATATGTATGTATATGGATAAAAATTCAAGAACTCCAATGGAAGGCAAGTTCTTTAACAGTGATGAATGACTCACCTAAGGCATATCATTTAATTTCAATAAGGAAAATAAAAAAGGACCACTATTGCTGCAAATTTTAAAAATAACTGTATTGTTAACAAGAATTATGACTCATTTTGAACTATTAAAATTGGTCTACATGGATTCATATCATATCAGTTTTAAAAATATGCGCAGTGCTTATTTGAATATGCCATACATATTCCTGACAGGCAATCTATTCCTAACGATACTCAGCAAGGCCTACAGGGCATCACATTCGGTGTTAACAAGTGCAGGCGAGTTAGCACACTTGGCATTTAATTCACATTCTTCTCCCTTTTTATTCTAGATGAATGACCTACTTTAATAAAATTATTGGTGCTAATGTATTTTACTGGTGATAGAATCATTAGTAAGATTTAACAGTTTTGTTAACTCGAACAGTTTGCTTTCTGAAGCGTACACAACATACACTGGTATTTTTGGCTTTTTTTTTATATTAACAAGGTAAAATTGAATAAGGGTATTGGCTAATCCCATTAGGAAAAGAAACCTATATATACACATATCAAGTTTACATTTTTATTAAAAATGCTACATGTGCAGAAATAACTCTGGAAATAGTAATATCAAAATGATGATTTAATCTTCACAAATATATATATATATTTGTATTTTCCTACAGAAAACTATCTGGATCAATAAGACACAGAGAGGGCAAGGAAGTTATAACCTATTCTAAATAAAGAGCAAATTTTGATTTCCCCCCTTTTCTTAAGCTCTGGGATCTAACCATCAGAGGAAAGATTTCATTGTTATAGAAAAATAAACATTTCATTGTCTTTAAAGTTCTGTCCTTAAATACTGTTTTCAGATCATGAATTTAAAATATATATCATATCGAAGAACAAAGGATGATACATAGATTGAATTCAAAGGTCTTGGTATTCATTTAGCATCACAGACAGCACCTATAAAAAGGATATGCCACTGTTTACAAGTTACTCATTCTTTTTTCCAAAAAGTTAGTTTTTGTATGCTTGAAATGAGTAAGGGCAAGTTATGTTAAAGATTTTTATATAACTTTCTTTAAACCAGAGAAATCTTGTGTCATGTCATTAACCATGTCCATATTTTTTTTATTAAATTAAAATGAAATGCTTGTCTGGCTGAATTGTATAAAATGAGGTATATATATATACCTATAGAAAAGATAAAGAATTAGCTTTAAACTTACAGCACAGAAATGAAAATGTTATTCAGGATATGTTCACCTGTATGTGTATATGTATGTATGCATTTGTGTATGTGTGTGACTGCCAGGCAAGTTTTCATTATTATAAGGTTCAGGCTAGTGTTAGAAAAACCACGGAAGATTTGGTGTCTTGAATGACAATAGAAAGGTAAAGGTCTTTTTTAAACTTCCTATGCGAACCAAGACATGTTCAGTTAAAATACGAGACTCACTTCATCAGGAAACTTTCCTCTCATAATATTCTCATATATCAACATTTCAAAGTGCATTATGTACATAGTGCATTTTGGGCACTTGATAAATTTTGTCCTTATGTGGCTGTGGTTTCCCTCAAAAATGCTGGATGTAATAAATTGCTATAATCAAATCTAATTTCTGAAAAATACCTGTGGGAGTAACAAACAAAAAAGCAGGTCTTGTGTAAAAAAAAAAAATGATAAATAACACCGAAGGTAGCTGTTTATTATAATCAGCTTGGCACTGAATTACAAAATTAAAATTATGTGGCCCTTTATAACTAACCCTACCAATATACATGATCTGTGGAATTATGTTGACTTATTTTGCATTTCATAGGAACAGTTCAAAGAAATATAATAGGAAAAAAATGGAAAGATTTATCACAAAGGACACTGTAGCACAGAATATTTTGAAAAAACTCCATTTATTTTGGTCTATTAAGAAAACTAGCATGGAAATGATTTGCTTAGAACTCATTAAGTGTAAAACATTTTGAAAAAGTGCTAATTTTCTAAAAGAAACATCTATGCAGTAAGCAAATTATATTTTTCTATGACTTATTACTATGGGACCATGTGAACTAAGGCATCTACAGAATAAAGAAACTTCTAAAGGGTTGATTAAACGAAGCTTCAAGCTGTAGTTTGATAGAATTATTAATTTAATCATTTTTAGACAGTTAATTTCATCCAAATTGTTTTTTTTTCCAGCCTGCCTTGAGCAAGGAAATTTGCTTTACTCTTCAGTTAAGAAGTCAAATAGAGAATTTGATTCCAGATGGTAATAGAGATGTGACTGTAAACTTTTGCATTACACATACCAATAACGTTTGCTTTGCACTTGCACTGGCCTGAATTTGGGTGACAGGTAGTATCTCCATCCACTGTCCCAGAGGTACTGCAGTTACAAGAGCTACAGCCATCAGGATCCGACTCTTGCAGATTGTAGAATCCATTTTGGCACTGATTGCATTGTCTGCCAGACACATGTCTCTTACAATTACACTGGCCTCCAATCTAGAGGAGATACAACATTTTGTAGAATGATGAACATATCTATTTTTAGATAATTTGCTCATTAGGTACAAGACAGGGAGGGAGGGAGGGAGAAAAAAAAAAACTTTAAACAGACAAGAAGGTAATAAGGTACGTTTCCTCCTGACACAAAACATGGGAAGCTTCGGCAGGGTGAATATATAGAACAGAATGAAAATAAACCCCTAAGAAGTCAGTAGCAGAGGACTAAAAGGGAAACGTGGAATTAAGCACTGAACACCATAGAAAGAAATCAAATATAGTCCTGTGGAGATTGAAAATAGAAAAGAGCCGGCAGTTAACTTAGTCTCACAATTTCACCTCTCTGCTTTTTGCTCCCCTCATCTACTATCTCTTTGACCCAAACTTGCTTGATACATGGTGCTTAAATTAAGGACAGATCTTTCTATAGTAGTATCATCCTGTCAAGGTCTTCACAATGTTTAAAATAAAGTTCCTTGTTAACAGAACCATTTGTGCCTACTGATATGGACCCTGAAAACTTAAAAAAAAAAATTCTGCTTTTAGGAATATTTCAGCATATTTATGGTTCCTTTGTAACATGACTTAGTCACATTAAGTATATTTAGCTGATTTATATTACGGTAAAAAATGCAAAAATAATTATTTGTTTCAGAGCACTGTCAAGTAAAATAAGAGCTGAATAAAGGAGTATTTTTCTTCTTCAAACTCCTGTTTGAGAAAGAAATACACAAAATATATAATGCTTATCTACTATATATATAAATAATACCATATTGGTTAAAAAAAGATAATTAAGAGCCTAAACTTTTCAGAAGGGAACATATGCATGTAAAATGTGAAACTAATATGAGAAATTTAAAAATAACTTAGGACTTGAAAAAGAGATGCCAATGTAGACATCAAATCAAATCTCCTATAAAGTCACTGGCATTTCTCCCCCTGATTTCCTTTTACATGAACTGAATCTAGCTCTCCACAATTGGTGCAGGGTTGTCACACAGGGAAGTAACCTACATGTAGAAAGGCATGGCTTGACTTACCTTTAATTGCAGGTATACTCAAAAAGATCAGGTTGGGATTCAGTTACAAACATGTAGAGAAGGGAATTTTAATTAAGGAATTTTAAGAAATCTATCACTGCCTCATTCTTCCTCATCCGAGATATAGGGAATATGCTGGAATCATTCCTTAAGGGTAAAATAATTGATATGAAAATGTTTAATACTCTGAAAAATAGAAGTGTATACCTGCACCAGGTGTAGCTGTAGATTAGTAATGAACCTCAATATCAAAGATACATATAGGTCCATAAAGATATGCAAAGACCATGAATGATCTCTTTGTACCCAGCTACTTCCCCACCCCTATTCTTACCCAGTCCCATATAATCCAGATCATTACTCAAGACAGAGATTTGATTTGGTCTGTGAAAATAAGTGACATTTATTGGTAGGTATGTGTTATATATAGTCATGAAAGTCTACTAGGTCTCTGATTATACACTCTGCTGTAAATAAGATAATATGATTTTATTACCATTTCTTTAACTAAAAGTTTGTATAACATATATAAATTATACTTTCTTTAAATGAGCTATACCTTAAAATGTGGCTTAAAAGTAAGTGATAAAGGCTTTGTAGTTTTATGAAAAGTTTTCATTTTAATCAGTTTCTCAAAATGCACCTGAAAATATAAATTTACATCTGTAAACTCAGCTTCATTTATTTTTTAAATATTTATTTATTTTTATTTGACAGAGAGAGAGAGCATGCTCATGGAGGGGCAGAGGGAGAGGGAGAGAGAGAATCCTCAAGCAGACTCCCCATTGAGCATGGAGTCTGACACAGGGCTCTGTCCCAGGACGCTGCGATCATGACCCGAGCAAAAATCAAGAGTCAGATGCTCAACCAACTGAGCCACCCAGACACCCCCAGCTTCATTTATATGATGGCATATAAATGTACTTAAACTCTAAGACCAATTCCTGTCTACCAAGAAGTAAAAAGTGAAAAGGGTGCGCTTTTCCCCTTTAAAAATACACTTCCAAAAAGTCAGATGCAACATTTTTCTGTTTCTATGCTCTTTGGTAGAATACTTTTACACTAACCCAATTAAATAATACAGACCTGAATAAATCATGGGATGAAAGGTACAACATAGGGAATATAGTCTATAGTACTATAATAGCATTCTGTGGTGACAGACAGTAGCTACATTTGTGGTGAGAACAGCATAATGTATAGAGCTGTCAAATCACTATGTTATACACTTGAAACTAATGTAACATTGTATGTCAACTATACTTCAATATAAATAAATATATATATACATACATAAATACAATCCTGTAATTATTATCCCCAGAAAGATAAGGTAAAAGTTGTATTCACTAAAAAATATAGAAAACAAAAAGCCTTAAGAAAGAAACAATCTGTAAAGGAAGGAATACATTAGGCAAATTAAAATCTCAATAAGAAGATTGGAAGAGAAAGTTGAGAAAATTCCCGAGAAAGAATAATAAGGATAGAAATGAAAAACAAAATAAAAATAGAGCATTTCCAGATGGACAAAAGTGGAAAAAAACATGAGAGAGGAAATTAGCAAAGAATTAATACAAAATAAACATTTTTCCAGACATGAAGCTACAGTTTAAAAGGGCTCACCATGTGCTAGTAAAATTAAGGGGGAGGAGGCAAAATCACGTACAATCCCATTACGTATTCAAATGCTGGAAATAAACAAAAGGGACAAAAATTTCCAGAAACAATAAATCCCACATAAAAGAACTATAGACTATCACTGAAGTATTCTCAATTATTATTGTAACCCAGAACACTATATCATAACTTTCAAATTATGAGCAAAATTATTTGCCAATCCAGAATTCAATACTAGGTCAAACTATCAGTTATCAGTGAGGAAAGAATAATGACATTTTTCAGGTTTGGAAGGATTTAAAAACTATAACTCCCTCTCTTAGGAAGCTAGTTGGTGATAGAACTCCAGCAGATAAAAAAGTAAACGAACAACAGCAACAACAATGCAAGGCATGGGATCAAGGAGATAAAGATTCAGAAGTATGTGGAAAGTCTCAGGCTAACAGTTGAGCAGGAGACCCAGAAGGCCATTGTTCCAGACTAAATCCAAAGGACGGAACAGGCAATATAAGCAAAGGAATTATTCAATATTAATTATTAAATTATTTTATCTTTATTAAATTATTAAATATAGGCAGAATATTAAATATAGGCAGAATAAAAGATTACAGATATTTTTTGAAGATAGAGTCAACATGATTTGCTGGCAAATTATACATAGCTGCTAAAAGAAAGAAAATTCAAAAATGATTATGGCTTTTGACATGAACAACTGGAAGGATAGAGTTGCCATTAACTAAGTGGGAAAGGCCACAAGTGAAGCAGATTTGGAGGGAAATCAGGAGATCAGTTTGGGACACATTAAATTGAGATATCTGCTAGATATTGAGTATTTAATTGAAAATTAAAGTGTGGAATTCACTTGAGCATTGCCTGTGTATTGACAACCTTTGAAGTTAAGTATCACCAGGGGACTAAATGTGGATAGAGGAAAGATCCATAAAGAGGGTTCTGGAGAGAAAGAGGGATCAAAAGCGTTTTGAAATGGAAGAAATAACAGCATGTTTATTTGCTTAAAGGAAGGACAAAGCACAGGCATCCACACTGATAATGCGAGGGAAGGTAAAAGTCAAGTGCAGGCCCTGACTCACTGGGCATCATGGCCTCTCCTTCGGTTGATATCTACCCATTTCTAGCTTTTCCAATACTGAGTTCCTCCCAAGTTAAGGCATGTTTCCTTCTTCTGTTATCCTATAGCATTTTATTGCTACATTATACCATCCTGTAATTTTCTAGTGTCTAACTTATAATTATTATATATAATATAATAATTTTTGAAATTATTTGAAAATACCTCTGCCCAGTGTACTGTACGGCTCAGCAACCAAAGGGCCATAACCCTGTGCACCTTTCTATCACCCATGGATCCAACAGGATGCCTGATACATGGTAACATTTATAATATTGCAGGCAGAGTGCTAACAATGTTTTATGTATTTTTTCCTATTTATTAACAAATAATCCTGTGAGGCATTATAATATCCAAAAGAAAATTAAGTGACTTTTCCAAGGCCTAGCCTAAATGGAAACTAAGGGCTCTATGTATGGTTGCAATCCTGTGTGTTTATGCACTATACCATCATGCCTTAGAATTTAACACTCACTCCTATTGTCTCAACTAAATGGTGTAAGTTCCTTAATCATTTGGATGTAGCATAATTACCAGTCACAGTACAAACTATACTTTGCCCCCTACATCTACCTAAATCTTCGTTTATTTATCTATAAAATGAGCATGATTATATTACATCTGTTGTCAGGATTAACTGAGATTATTAATATAAAAGTATCCAGTATCATCTCTAGATCATAGTAAGTGCTTGGTAAAGATAAAGTATGACGATTACTATGTATATTTCACACTGGTATTGAACAAATACAGTAAATTCATCAAATGACTGATAGTCAAACTTTTTTTCACCCTTCTAGAATACGTGACGGATGTGTGGCATGCACTTGCAAAGTAAAAAAGGCCAATCATTTGCATCCTGAAAGGTTTGGATGTCCCCTCCAGCTACATAACCTCTTTTCGGTTCCTTGAACAAATTAGGGGTGTTCCCGCCTTAGGATGCTTGCATAGACTCCCCCCTCTGCCTACAACTCTTCTCCCAGATTTCAACACAACTAACTCCTTCACCTCCTTCAGGTCTTAAATCAAATGTCACCTTCTTGATGAGACCTGTCTTGACTATATATCTGAAATGGCAAGTCCCTTCCTTAAAATGGCACTGCCACGGTGTTCCACACAGTCCAATTTCTTCCATAGCACTTTACTTAGTAAATAAACCTATTTATTTTTACATTAACTGATATTGGTCTTTCTCATCTACTTCCCAAACC